ACAATCAAATAAATCAAAATCATTGACACTAACTTCAAGAAAAATGTCGTTTAATTTTGTTCGCATGCCGCGAATATTTTGATAATAAATGCAAAAATTGAACTTTAATACTAAAAGCACCAATCACTTTTTTGAAATAGTAATATCTAATACTAATTAAACTAAAGACTAAAAAATCCTGATGCAATACCAACTTTGCTGGGTGTTCATCGTCCTTTCTAAGAAAGATTTTTCCACTTCTCACCCATACATATTTGAATTTGTGTTCTTTGACCCATATTCTTGTTATTGCGTGGAGTGATTTATTAGCTTGTGTTAGATGCTCGGAGATGTAGACCGGTGACTTCTTGTTACCATAACCTAGTAGCTTTGTGTTTTACTTTTCATTGGAATGGAATCTTTTGTACTTATATACAGCTGCAAGTAGATTGTCTCGTTTCAGCTTATTAACGAGTCTGAGTACAACTGTTTTAGGCAAGTTTTTTTATATTTTTTTAAATGAATATTAGCAATGCTACAAACATTACTAATATTCCCCTTAACCACTCGTGGTAAGCTTAAATTGCTCGTGTTACGAGTGGTTCACGCCAGTAGTCGAATGGCGGATTCGAACCCACGACCTTTTTGAGTTCGCGGTCCACGCCCTGCCATTAGGCTACTGTCGCTTCAATGTCTTGTTTTGCTTTCGTACACGATTACAAGATAAAAAATCAGTTTCAGAAAAAGAAAAACCTATGACTTTGCCAATTTGCATCACTGCGTTAATCAGGTTTTCTTGTTTATGCTCTAGAAGACAGTGGATTTCTATGTTATTCTGCCGGGAATCTTGTTCCATTACTGACAATCTTGATTCTAGGTCTTTAACTTTGCGTTGGAGCAATTCACTTTCAGATAATTGATAGAATCAGGCGTTACTTTGCGGAAATCCATTATAATAAAAATATACTTCCCGCCCTCCCTCAATTGCATGCACTAACTCCGTCACCACTACTTCCAACACCACTATTCCAGGTAAGACACACCATCGACGATAATACGACACGTGTTCCGCCTCTACACGAGGCATCCTCAGGTGATGTAGACTACGGCGGTTGACCGTTAAGAGAGCGGCGAGCCGAAACGGCTGCTATTTATATAGCACGCGTCACGTAAAAAGAACGCTGGAAGAAAGTGGTGGGAGTGTGTTTGCGCATGGGTACAGTCTCGCACAAAAGTTATGTGCCTATTAATTTATTTTTTAACTAGGCTTTCGCTCGCGGGTCGTGGCTTCCTACCTATATATTTGTTATTCTTATTAGTTATAACATTGAAAAATATATTAGATAAAATATCAATAAAATGAATTAAAAACGTGTTTGAATTATGTATTATAGAATGTTTAATCTAAATAAAATTAAAGTAATGTTGAAACTCCTTCCATTAAGTCATCATGCGTGACGTGAAAACCAGATGAGGACGCGGTGTTGGTGCTAGAAGTGGCCATTTCATCGTCGTCGCTGTCGTCACTCGGGCTTCCATCCTCATCTGAGTCGGAATCATGATCCCCTATGTGGATAGCAAATGTTTCTGTCATCATGTCCACCACATGATCGCTTTTACAGTAATCAGCCTCTATTTCTTTTACCTTCGTGCATAGCTTCCCCCATTCTGTTGCTCCCATTAAATTTACTTTTTCATGAATCAACTCAGTTATACGTGTCAGGTTCCAAGTTACATTTTTACAGGCAACATAAATTTTTATTTGGGACCAGGCCATTTCAATAGGATTTAGGTCCGGGTGATATGGGGGCAAACGAAGTACAGAATGTCCTGCTTCGTTCAAAATAGCATCGATATTAAATTTCTTAAATTTATCTTTGCATTTTTTTATTAAGTTGTACAACTCCGGCTTTAGCATGGTCTCTTCAAATTCAATACCTTTTTGACGAAGCCAGGTTTGCATGTCTGCTTTCTTTGAATTGGACGTTGGTGCAGCATCGAATTGTTTATTGTGGTACGATGCATTATCGACTACCACGACTGAATTAGGCGGTAAATTTGGTATCAGTTGAGTACGGAGCCACCGCTCGTAATTTTCAGAATTCATATTGTCATGGTAGTCGCCGCTTTTTTGTACCGGCTTTAAACGTCAGTAAAGCATTCGGCACAAAACCTGCATCGCCACCCGCATGCACTATGACTAAGCGGCTACCTATAGATACAGGTTTTTTTATGCCCTTGGTGGAACCGTCTGTCCAAGCATGGTGAGACGCATGGGAACTATCGACGTATGATTCGTCAGTGTAAATGATAGGTCTTACTTCCTCTCTATATTTTTTAATCTTTCTCAGATATTCAATTCTTTGAAATCGAATTTGTGACTGCTCAATTAAGATTTTTCTATTGGTTTCCGTTTTTTTTTTCCATTTAAAACCCAAGTTTTTCAATACTCGCCTGAGACTTGCTGCAGATCCTTGGAAATGTATGTCATCCTGTAACTTCCTTTGCAACTTGCCTATGGTAGGCAATTCTTTTTCAGTAACGTGAAAATTATGGATCATTCTTTTTATAACACCCTGGTCAAAGCTGTCAATGTCTGTTATTGGTTTTGTTTTTTTCTTTTATTTTTGCCGGGAGTTCGGAAAACAGTAAGAAATTCCGAATCTTTTGAACCCTTTACTATTCGTCTAACTGTCGACTTGGAACATTTTGTTGCCTCTGCGGTCCGTTTCATATATTGTTTTAAATTATTAACTACATTATTATCAGCTTCCCTCTTCATAAAACAGTATACGTCATAAATCATTTTTCTCTCTTCTCTATGTAAAACCATTTCGTAATTTAAAACTTTTGTGCGCGATGGTATTTTTAAAAGGAACGTAACGTGGATACTACACGGGAAGCAAAGCTCAACTGATGAACCAATAGTGCATCGGTAAACATGCGGCGCGTGGCTCACCCGCCCCGCGCCCTACCTCATACCACCAAGTAGACCGATAAATCGCCTATGCGCAGCTTGACCGCCAGCGTTCTTTTTACGTGACGCGTACTATACACGCCGACACAACCGCTCCCCACCAAAGTAACGAGTGACCGCGCCGAGCGAGTTGTTATATCACGCTTTGCTATTATTAGTAGGATTCGCTTAGCAAGCATATTTAACAATTAAAATCCATCACCATGAAGCATTAGATATTTAAAAAAAAACAGTAATATATGTGCTTGTTTAATTATTATTGTTAGTAAAATTAGCGAATTTCGTTATTTGGGACACCTAAAACAAAGCAAAGAATGTTGGTAAAGCGGCCATGTCCCTAAAAATGAGACACCTAACTTTTAGCATAACAATCCTATAAATTTGCTTATTTTATCGGGTAAAAAAATATAAAAAAAACTATTCTGCTTACAAAGTTTTTTACAGATATTTTAATTTTTTTTCATAAATATAAAAATATAATTCGTTTAAAGTTTAAAAGTTTAAAGATTGTTTTAAAAATTAACGCCGAAAAATATTAATAAAAAAGTGTTTTGAATGCACTGTGCACCTTTTTAATAGAAAATAATAAATAACGTGATAACAGATTGGTAACATTAGCAAAAATTAAACATTTTGTGGTAAAAATAAAAAAATCACGATTTTTGTCAGTTATTTCAAGTTTAAAAAACTCACATATTAACATAATCTTTTGTAACTAATAATGTCTTAAACCTATTTTATCGGCTACAAAATGATACCAAAATGACATATCTAAGTTGAATTGTTTGGGAGCTACTGTTTCTTAAAAATGACGGTCCTTTTAGCGACAGGGGAAGCCGATAAAAATTATTTTTCTATGGTCAGGGTAATGGCAAATGACCCTAAATTACTAAAAGAAAACTAGAAGTGATTTTGATTAAAAAAAAAAACATTCTTATGTTAATACTCTTATTTTAACACAAGTTTGTACTCAAAATGTCCTCCTCCATATGCCATACAAGCAGTTGCGCGAAGGGCTACTTGCTTTGTTGCTCGTCGCAACATAACGTGATCTGCGCGTAATTCTTCGGCGGTCACGTTAATTCGTTGAAGAAGTTTCTCACGGGTGCTCACTTCATGACTCTCACACTCACAAGAAAAAATCCAGTGGGGTGAGCGTGCCGGCCACGCTACTGGTCCATTGCGTCTAATTCATTTTGGTAAATGCATATTTAAATGTTCCTTAACATTTCTTGCAAAGTGGGTTGGTGCGCCATCCATTTGAAGCCACATACGTCAGGGATAAGATACTGGTAAATCCATCAACAAATCTGGTAATTGCCTTTGTAAGAAATTTAAAAGTCTCGAGCGTTCAAATTCGGTGGAATTTCAACAGGGCCAATTAGCTGGTCGTCGATTAAGGCAGCTCAGGTATTAATAGAAAACTCATGTGAAATGAAGCCGGCCTAATAAGATTAGTGGGTTATTCCGCGGCCCACTTGTGGAGATTTCTAAAATGCGTAATGCCTGTTCGTGTGAGTTTGGCCTCGTCTGTCCACATAATACGTTGCAGAAAAAATAGGTCTCTTCAGAACTGGCGTAAAATCCATGTCGAGAAGACGGATCTTGCCGCATAATCAGGTTCCCTGATATCTTGCACCTTTGTGAAGTGATAGGGATGCAGCCCTTCTCTATTCAGGATTCTCCAAACAGATGACTGCAACATATCTAAAAATAGAAATGTAATTAAATAGTTTGACTTTTCAGTTTTTTTGATAATTTTGTCGTGTGGAAATAAAGGGTTTTTAATATTATCTAGGCGCACAGCGATGCGACGAGTACTTGTTCGTGGGTCTTGTTCAATTTCTGCTAAAACTTGTTCTTCATATTCCGCAGAAATAAGCATAACTTGTTCAGGAGCCAGTTGATGTAGGTCATGTTGACGAATGTAAATGAACGTTAAATAAACGTGCGATAATTTGATACTTGCCGATTGGGGTTTCTGTTACGATACTCCCTGACGGCAGCTTCAGCATTTCCATCTCACAGGCAATAAACATAATGGATGTCGACGATATGTTCATTTGGATATAAGACGCGTGACATTTTAGCACTACGTAGCTTAACACAAGGAACACAAAGGTATGATTACAACACACTTAATCTCTACCAAAGCAAGCAGACAATTGGTGGCTGGTTTAGTTTTTTTTATCGCCTTCCTCTGTCGCTAAAGGGGTCGCTACCTGCTCTCCGTATTCCATAGTACTTGCTCGAGGGTCGTTGTCAATCAACAATAGCTCCTAAACAAATCAACATAGTGATGTGATTTTGGTGAGATTGCATATGTAGTGTTCCACAGAGACCATGTATCATATTTTTTTAACAATTACTTAATACGAAATAGGATCTTTAACCGGTGTTTGGGATCTCTGCCTTTATAACGTCATCCATTCGACTTGAATGAATATTTTCTTTGAACCAAATCAAGTTATGTGAGTGCGGCAAACCTCTTTTTTGCCATTATATTGAGTACATCCGACTAATAACATCTCCACTTGACTGCCTCGTTGGTCTTGTGGTTGTAGTAGTGCGACTGCTGATTATGAGGTCCTGGGTTCGAATCTCGGGTCGAACCAAAAAATCAGTTATTCAGTAGCTGCCCGGAGTCAGGAAGTTGGCGGTGTCTCACCCCCGTACCTCGGAAAGCACGTAAAAAGCCGTTGGTCCTGCGCCTGACCTCACACCGGTCGTGTCGGTTTACCGTCCCATCGGACTACAAGAGTGATGGTATGGAGAGTGCACCTGTGCTTGCGCATCCACTTGGGCAGTATAATCTAATCCTGCGCCGAAGGCTAGTGTCCATTGAGGCAGGCCGCCGTGACCGGAATTCGGTCTGGAGGACAATATTATTATCTGGTCATTATATCTTTTACCTACTTACTACTTTTTATTACCAGGCAGGCTATAAGAATATAAAAGTAATATAAATGTTAATTTTGTTAGAATATACGTGGATCACATACATATAATAGATAGATAGACAATCTATTATCGCACATACCAAAACATAAAATAACAGAAAAAAATAGAAAATGTTAAAAGGTAGATTAATGGCCTTATCACTGAAATATTTATAATATCAAAAAGTACATAAAATAAATGTAAAAAAGTGCCCAAATACATAAAAGACACTCACGCTTGTCACCCAGTTATGTATATAAGTACAATAATATAAAGCGACTGCCTCGTTGGTCTAGTAGTTGTAGTAGTGCGATTGCTGATCATGAGGTCCTGTGTTCGAATCCCAGGTCGGGCCAAAAATCAATTATTGAGTTTTCTGTGAAGAAATTCTCAGTAGCTGCCCGGAGTCAGAAAGTTGGCGGTGTCTCACCCCCGTGCCTCAGAAAGCACGTAAAGCCGTTGGTCCTGCGTCTGATCTCTCTACGGTCGTGTCGGTTTACCGTCCCATCGGATTATGAGAGTGAGGGAATAGAGAGTGCACCTGTGCTTGTGCATACACTTGGGTACTATAATCATGTCTTGCGCCGATGGCAAACCTCCGTTGAGGCAGGCCGCCGTGGCCGAAATTCGGTCTGGAGGACATTATTATTATTATAAGTACAATATGTGTAAATGTAATTTCAAATTTGCAGATTCAGTCCGGAATGTACAGAAGAGCTAACAACGTTGTTGTGCACCGACAAAATATATGAGAATATACCAAAGCACATGCGTGTGAAACCTGGCATGGTCAACATGCAGTGGAAAATTGATATTTCACTGTGGTACGTTCATTTGCTTTCATATTGTTCATCATACATTTTGTCTCTAGGTGTTTTACCTCTGGCGTAAATGAGATGGTCATACCACCCTCTTTGGGTCTATGAGAAACCAAAAATGTTTATGGCATATCTCATAGCCGTATCTTACGACACCCACGGAACGAAATTTATAGCTACGCTGCAGCTATATTATGGTTGTAGCACGAATGGGTCGGCTCGACTGGGGTAAGACCACGCTTGCACAGAATGTCAACGTTAAATAGCAGTATAATGCTGCTTGTGTTTTGTATGGTGAGTGAATATTACTGGAGACTTTTTAGTGGAAACAAGGCATTCAAGAGTGACAATGCATCTGTATTTTGATTCTTATTCGAGGATGGATGTAGGTGTCTATGAAACACAGCATCCAGTTACCATCAGGTGAACTGATTGCCCGTTTAATTCCATTATTTAGGGTGTTCTAACGCAGATGTTAATTCGCCACCTACCCACCTCTGGCTAGCAAAATATATACAGAATATATTTCAGAGATGATGAAAAAAAAACAAAAGTGACTAACGGACTTACAAGTGTAGTTCACCTATGCCAGGTAAGTGGCAACTGCTGCTGACTGCCTGCTGAACATGTATCTAATGAAAGAAGGCTATGGATATTGAAATATCATATGGAATGCCTCTCAGTCTGTAATTATACTGGCTTCCTTAAGCTAAAAACTGCTGTTTGGCAGTAGACAAAGACGGTGGTGCCTATACAGACTAAATTCTATTCGGAAAAGGAGCTCTAGTCTAGTCTAGTCTTTGGTTTCAGGTTTTGACTAAATTGATTAGCTTAGTTTACTACTAAGGCTGCTTACTTCCTCTTGTTACTAGTTCAGAAGAGTGGCAAAAAATTCTATCTATTTAAGGTGTGTACGTGACATTCGAGCTCACAGTCCACCTTAGTATGTGGATGGTGTGGCGAATAGACATTCACATCTATCGTCGATCAAGAATTTAAATGCGGATGCATTGTCAACATTCTCGACTCATCATAGGAAACAGCAGCATTTTGCTGCTATTTCACAATGGAATTCTGTGCGAGCGTTTCCTACCTCGGTAGAGCTTGAACCATGTGATAAATCTGCAATTTAAAATTGTAATTTTTATTTTTAGTTTTGTTAGTATTAAGATATCATAGTATAGTATCTATCAACGATTATGATACAGTGGTAAATTAAAGTTGGTAAAAACTTACTTCGCTTATATCCGCTTAGTGAAACATTATATACTATTACTTTTTTACTAATCTGAATATAATGGATTTCCTCCAAGTTACATCTGATTCTATTAATTACAATACAGTGGTCTTAAACTCTAACATAAAATAATTTAAAACTTTAAAATTAAATAAATCATAATTTAATTTTAATATTTTAGACAATATATCCTAACCGTTGTTAGGTCATAGCACCCCTACAATCCCTCGACCTAACGGTTAGAATACAATGTTTTAACCTTAAGAAGAAGTAAAAGTTATCTCCATAAACCAAATCTGTCTGTATTTGTTATTTGCACGAATGTTCGCCCTGGTTTGGTTTAAACTCTGACTCCGTCAACTCGATAGACAGGTACTTCTGACAGTTATGACGCGGTCGCTATGAAATGTTCTAATTTCCTAATAGCTTACTCAGAAATTTTAAATTTTCAGCCAAAACAATATTCAGGCAGAAAACGCGAATCATGAGAGGTGCAAAGAAATACTGCAAAGAGACACTCATATCATTCTAACGTTCCAACTGACAGACGGAAAAACAATTACGTATAGATTGTCTATTGCTAAATTTCACGAGTTGAGGTATACAATTGCGAGTGCGTTGAAATCCATGATTGTGTTGGAGAAGAGGAAATGTATGAGCCGTGATTGACAAAATATTTTTTCTTGTTAATATTTATTTCAATAATGTTGCTCATAGTTTTTAAAGGTGCCAATACTAGTTACGTAATAGTATATCGATTAAATCGATATTTATATCGTTTTGTCAATTGTTGTCAAAAGTATAAGACGTAGAAAACCTAATTGTTAAATGCGGCATAGTTTTACATTCGATTACGTTATATTATTTCTTATCTATTAAGTTGTTAAAACTTTTGATATTTTTACCATTTCATCCATTACAGCCTATCACAAGCCCACTGCTGGACATAGGCCTAAGGAATCCCACAAAGCGTGGGCCTGAGCCATCTGTATCCACTTCCTGCATATCTTATCATATCGTCAATCCATATTGTGGGGGTGCCCTATGCCTACCGGTACCGGTTCATCTTCGAGTTATGTGGCCGCCCTATTGCCACTTCAGCTGGCTAAACCGTTGGCCTATTTCGATTACTCTGGCCATAGTACTAATTCGAATATCCACGTTTTTAAGTCACCCCGAGCTTATGCTCGGGTTATCCTTCTCCATAACTCCCTGAACTCATCTCAGATCAATACGACATCCCTGGCAACACGCACTGGTTGTGCAATTGTGTTTTCAAGTTTTGAGGTATACCTGATGAGGCGTAATCTCCCGAACGCTACCCAGTCGGGTTGAATCTGTCAATTGACCTCTCAGTAGAAGTTAGACTTATTCTTACTGATCTGTTGATGTAATTTCAACAAATAATTTCAACTAATCGCATTCAAATAGTAACTGCAGCAAACAATCTTGTTAATATCTGAGAGATTACTCCCATATTTGAAATGATGTCAATCTTAGATTATTTATTTAATATTTTTTTCTTTCCACTTTTACAAGGAGTTTTGAGTTAATTTTGTAGAATAATGCACTCATTGAATTTATTGAATTCAATAGGAATTATTGTGGATAAAATGATGGTAATGTCTATGTTACGGCTTAAAGCAGAAGTGCGGGTACACTTAGATTTAGCTGGCTACAACTTGTTGCAGCCAAATGCGGTGCCCCTTCTTCGCCTGGGCAGGATCTATTAATGTGGCGGTTGTTGGATTTAAGATAATCAAATTATTGATATTCCGGGGTTTTTTTCCACAAAAAATCGCATGAGATGTATCCTAGATCACTCCTGGCATTGCTATCTATCTGTTCGTGAAGTTTCATTACAATCGATTCAACGGTTCTGAAGATTAGCGCGGACGGACAGAGAGACAGCCAAAAATTTAAACTGGTTATTCATGTCCTAATGCTCATCTCAACTCAATATACCTGAGTCAGTTACTGCGATATTACTTTAATTTTATTTGTGTATCATATATATATATATATATATATATATATATATATATATATATATATATATATATATATATATATATATATATATATATGTATATTAGCCATCAAAAAAATCAGCCCACCTGCGTTTTTGCCGAAAATAGCGTTTTTCTAAAGCAGAACCAATCAAAACGTTTAAGTACTGAAAAAAATTCATTATCATTATCAAAAAAAAAAAATCGACCCACCCATATTTTGTTTGAAATTTATCGATTGTTTCACTTAAAAGCTGTTTCACACATTTGTTTTTTATTTTGAGGGTCGGATATGATGTTTGACACCTTGATTGTCGTAAATCTTATTGCACTTAAAGGGACTTTACAATTTTTTATACAGAAATACTGTTGAGTGCTGATTTCGTTGTTTTACGTCAGAACAAATTCGAACCGTTATTTCAGTCCGACACAGACTTTAGTAGCGATTTCTCGTTAATAACGATAAGTTTATTTACTGAGGCTGTAGCTTTGATTACTTTGTCTAAAAATAATGGACACTACTGAAGCTGAGGCGGCCCAAGTTGTGGCTTTGCTGCAACAAGGCTTAAGTCAACGTGTCGTGGCCAGGAGGTCAAATCTGAGCCGTTCTGCAGTGCGACGAGTTTACCAAAGGTTTCTTCAGCTTCTGGAGACTGTGCAGTATCGGAGAAGATCTGGATCTGGAAGACATAGGGTGACAACTCAATATGACCGATTTATAGTGTTATCAGCTCTACGAAATCGGCACCTATCTGGTGTTGATCGCCAGCGACGCTTACGTGAAGATCGAGGTGTGAAAGAAGACTGTGAGCAGAATTTAACACATTCAGTGCCACCGACTCGCCCGGAGAGTTCACGTAAATCTTATTCCAGTGCCGACGACTCGTCTGGCGAGTTCAGTGTTTTTCACTAATATTTCCAAAATGCATCCGTATTTTCTGCTTAAAATTATAGTTTAGACTAAATATATGCTAAACTAAAGATTTACGTGGTGGTTCGGGTGTGGAGACCCCGTTTAAATTTGAAAGGAAACAAACTATTCTGCAATGCCTTGAACTCGCTAGGCGAGTTCCCTGACATAGATCCTCAACCTTTGACATGTTAGACAACGACGTGAACATAGTAGCATGGACTACCTACATACTTGTGATATGGAACTAATATACAAAAAATTAGTTTCATTAGAATAATTAGGATCGCGCTAAATGGAAGTCCGTAGTCTCTGCCTACCTCTCTGGGTGACAGGCGTGAGTGTTTATGCGTTACTTATCGCAAGTCACTCTTGTTTGATTACGTATTGATATACCACCAGTTTGGAATAAAGAATCTGTCCTAGGAAGAACTATCAAGATATTATTTTTTTTAAACAAGCTTTAGAAATACAAAGTTATTGTAATATTTGAGAAATATATTCTTAATATATATTGATAAAGTATTCATTAATAAACATTCATAGATTCTTTCGTGTTTCAATCATTATATAAGTATAACTTTTTAATCTCAGTTATCAGACCTTAATTAATTTTAATTTAAATTTTACAAAAACACTAGGGGTAGGGCAGACAAGACTACGTGGAGTCGGGGTGTGCTAATTCGGTTTTAGAACCGATTCGACCTATTTTATCTATAAAGTCTAGTTGCTCTCTCTACTAGCTCTGCTACTAGAGTGGTGAATGAAATAATGTAATGTGAATTGTTATAATTTTGTTTTCTGATAAACCTCTTGACTGCTCTCCACTGCAACTCAATTTGTTGTATATAAGTCCCATCTCCATCCACAAATGGATTGACTGGGTCTGAGTGATTAACTTTTTTATGAGTGTATCTGTGTTAAAAAAACAGACATAATATTTGCGTTTCGTTATATGTAAGTTAATTAATCAAAATCAAGTACCGGATGTCTAGCCAACTCGATATAAACTCAAAACTTGTAACTCTCGATATCTCGAAAAATAAAGATTTCCGGCATAAAAAGCAGCTAAATGGTAATCAATAGCATCATTGCCTGTCAACTAAAGCTAAAATAGTCACTTAAATCGTGCAGCAGATTACTAAAGCCGACCCAAAATAATACATTTTAATCTGATACCATATTCTTAAAACTGAAACCCCGTATTAAATTATTTCAGGGTAAAATTGTCTATTCACAAGTATTGCAAATTCAAAATATAACCTTAACAATAACCACAATTTAAAAGGTTGACAACCACTGCTCAAATTACGAAATAAACTTACCTTTTATTTTATCCAAAGAGTTTTTTGCCATTTTTACAAGCCGAATAGTCCGGAAACACTTTTTAATTGCGTAAACACGTTAAGTACACTGTGACGGCCACAAAAATTACAAAACATAGAATTTACCCTTACGTAGTGCCAGTGAACTCGCGTGGCGAGTCGATCAATTTATATTGCAGTGCCGGCGACTCGCCTAGCGAGTCAACCGTAAAATGTAGGCGGAATCCGAGAAGACATCATGAAAATCGTAGGGGTGATGAATGTGTTAAGACCTCACAAGCCAGCAACAAGACCACAATTGACAACAGCTCATCGACAAGCCAGACTTTAATTTTCGCATAACCATATCAACTGGACTATAGGCCAATGGGAGTCAGTTCTTTTTAGTGATGAGAGTCGAATGACTTTATACGGTTCCGACGGACGCCGTAATGTCATGCGACGACCAGTGTTGCATAAAAGAATCTGTCAGTTATGGTGGAGGCTCTGTAATGTTTTGGGCTGGGATATCTTTGACTGGACGCACTGAGCTGGTTTTCATACGAAGAGGTGCTTCAACTGCAGCACGCTACATCACAGAGATCTTAGAAGACCATGTGGTGCCATACGCCGCCTATATTGGAGAGACCTTTGAATTAATGCATGATAATGCACGACCACACGTAGCGCGCATCACAACCGATTACCTTGAAGAGGTCGGCGTTCGGGTTATGTCGTGGCCAGCAAGAAGCCCTGATCCCAACCCTATGGATCACATGTGGGACACCCTAAAATAACAAAGGTTAGAGCCCGTAATCCAGTCCCTACAACATTAGGAGACCTTGAAACCGCCATTAGGGAAAAATGGAACCGAATCCCTCAAGAGACCATCAAAATCTTGATAAGGTCATTAAAACGGCGAATGCAGGCTGTCATTCGAGTAAGAGTAGGCAATATTCAATATTAAATTGCAATAATTGTGTACATAAAATTCAATACATAAACACTAGAGTTTTTATTGAAAATTAATAAATATATATATCCTCCTGGCCACGACACGTTGACTTAAGCCTTGTTGCAGCAAAGCCACAACTTGGGCCGCCTCAGCTTCAGTAGTGTCCATTATTTTTAGACAAAGTAATCAAAGCTACAGCCTCAGTAAATAAACTTATCGTTATTAACGAGAAATCTCTACTAAAGTCTGTGTCGGACTGAAATAACGGTTCGAATTTGTTCTGACGTAAAACAACGAAATCAGCACTCAACAGTACTTCTGTATAAAAAATTGTAAAGTCCCTTTAAGTGCAATAAGATTTACGACAATCAAGGTGTCAAACATCATATCCGACCCTCAAAATAAAAAACAAATGTGTGAAACAGCTTTTAAGTGAAACAATCGATAAATTTCAAACAAAATATGGGTGGGTCGATTTTTTTTGATAATGA